AGTGACCGGCCGGCGCGGCAGGAGTGGGTGAGCCCAAGCACGGAGGTGCCCCTCTTCCCGCGAGGGGCCTGCGGGGTCTCCGGCCACCGCCCGCTTCCCGAGCCTCCACCCGGCGGCCGTTCCCCAAGCGGGCCAGCTCGCCGGCTAGCCGGCCCCGGGCGCGGAAGGACCTCCTGGCTGGGACTGAGCCTCTCCCGGGGACTCCCGGCGCAGGCTCTCGTCCTTGGCCCCAGGCTCCAGCGGCGGTGGGGGGGCGGGCTTCGGAGCCCCAGCCTCTCTGGCAGGCGGCGTTGCCCGGGGTCAAGCCGAAGAAGGCCGTGCCAGGGAAGCCCTTTCAACCCGAGGCGTTGCCAACCGCAACAGCCCCGTGCCAGGGGTGGGATGTCCAGTTGCCTTTGTTTACAGAGGGGGGGGGAAAGGGGGGCGGTTTTGCCTTGACCTGGCGATCTCTTTCCGGCCAGCTGCTAGTTTCCAAGGCCCATCTCTTTTGGCTCCAGCCACTTGTGTGGCTGGGCTTATTCTCCAGTTCCCCGAATTTTGTAGGACCTGCACCTGAACAAAAGTCCTGTAGGACTTGAAAACTTTACTTTTTGTGATTTTTTTTTAGTAGCCCAAGAAATGTGTTACCAATTCAGAATGTTGTTTCTTCCAGCAACTTTCATTCCTTTAAAAAAGCAGAAAATCAAAACACTGGAAGGAGCTGTCCGCTAAAATCCAGGCCATCCTGTTACAGAAGAAAGCAAGCAAAGCGCTCCACTTAGGCCCGTTGCAAGTGGCGCCTGCCTCCTACAAGCCATTTCCAGCCAGGTCCCCAGTTGGGATCCTGGGTGCCCCTGGCCACATGGCCTCCGGGCGCTGTTTCTGGGGGTCTCTCTAGGCAAAGCTCTTCTCTTCCTTGCTTGCCCCCCCCTCCGGATGGTCCATTTGCTGGGCCAAGACCTCTCCAGGACATGCAGCCTCTGCCCATGTGGTTCACTCCTCTGCTGGGGCTCTTTCTCTCCACAGCCCTGGCTTCCGGCGTCTGCTCACTGGAGATCCAGGCTGACTCCAACGTCCAAGCCTTGGTGGGGGAGCCGGTGACACTCGGGTGCTGGTTTCAGTCGTCTTCTCCAGTTACGGAGAAGCTCACCATTGACTGGACGTATCGACCACTTACTGGGGGGAAACTAGAGCCGGTGAGTGGTTCTGGGTGCCTGTCCTTTCTTGGTTCTACAGCTGCCTCCTCTCTGCTGCTCTGAGAGTGTGCGCCTGTGTGGGTGCCACTGACGTCTCCCTCTCCCCCCCTCCCCAGATCCTGAATGGGTGGCAGTCCAAGCTCTTTCCTTGGGGTGCTGGGGAGGGGGCAGGCTCTCATGCCGCTCCTCACTCCCCATCACTTTCTGCCCCCACCTATGCTCCAGATCTTCCACTACCAGTCTGAGGCTTACCCAGCTCAGAGCGGCACCTTCCGTGACCGGATCTCCTGGGCCGGAGACGTGAACAAGCAAGACGCCTCCATTCGGATCAGCAACCCAACCATGGATGACAATGGGACCTTCACCTGCACAGTGAGGAACCCTCCAGACGTCCAGCACAACATCCCGCAGACCGTGCTGATGGTCACTCAGAGAGGTGAGAGGAAGACGTGCCTCCAGGCCGGCCCCCGGGGCTCTGAGTCCCTCACAGATCCACTCTTGTGAGCGGAGCAGTAAGAGAAGCCCAGGAGGGTTTCCAGCCACATGTGCTGGCTGCTCTTTTGCTGGGTTGCATCCTCTCTTCACTATGGATTGTACTGCCAGTTGGGAGAGATGTGGGCAGAGTGAGTCCTTTTTCTGCTCTGGGGGGCGGGGCTGGAAGCCCAGGAATTCCTACCCAGTCCACCGAAGCCTGTATTTACCCAGGGATCAGAGGTTATGCCTCCCTCAGTGGATCTGTGACCTCCCTAGTGGGATCCCGTGATTGCCCCTAGATGGAGACGGGCCCCATGGTGACCTTTTCTGCTGCGTGTAGAGCCATCCACCACACTGGCTCATGCTCGTTATGGGAGCTGACCCAATACCTCCTTCCTTTCTGCTGGTTTCTTGGTGGTGGCGTCTGATCTTGGCCGATTGCCTCCTTGCATTTTGGCCAGGCAGCTCAGCCTTTGCCCCAGAGGCTCCACCCGCTGCTTCTGGGCCTGATTGGCTTGTTCTTGCTCCTTTCCTCCCACAGGTGCCTCCTTCCAACTCACATCAGCTGGGCTGCTCTCCATCCTTGTCTTCCTCCCCTCAGCCATTGTGATTGCTCTGCTGCTGGTCCGGATGGGCAAGAAACTTGGGTTGCTGAAGAGCAGGAAGAAGTTCAGCTACAAGAAGTCCTCAATTGAAGTCTCAGATGAGTGAGGACATCACAGACTTATCTGGGGCACAATGGAGAGAGTGGGAATTGGGTGGGAGGGGTTACCTGGGTGCCTATTAAATAAGGCTTAACAAGACCCCACCCTTCCCCTCCCCACCTGGAGGCGCTGTCAGGATTGAACCCAAACCTTCTGCCGAACAAGCAGGGGTTCTGCTCCTGTGCCCCACTCCATCAAACCAGGTGCTCCAAAGCTATGTCCTGCTCCCTGACTCCCTTACCTCCTGCTAAAAACAACAACAACAACAACACCCAACAACAACAGATGGGACTGTGGCCTGTGGAGACCCTCTTCCCCCAGTGCCTGCTGACTGCATAATAGTGCACCCCAAGGTATCAGGCTGCTGAACCAGAGGCTGGGAGTTCGATTCCCCACTGTGCTTTCTTGACAGGGGTTGGACTCAATGACCCATAGGGCCGTTTCTAGCTCTGCAGTTTGAAGATTATAAAATGATATTATGTTCTGTCAAGTAGCAGCCCCTTAAAGCCGCTAGTGCACAAGAAGCATTGTGGCAAGTGCCAAGGGCAGCATGCCTGCTTGTGTGCATGGGTAGGCCTATATGCGTGCACGCAGGCTGAGGTTTTGATCAGTGGCGAGGAACCATAGGGTTGCCTGAAAACTGGGGTTTTCCATCCTTCAGATTAGGATGGGATCAGCTGCTGAAATGTGGGTACAGTTGGCTTCCCCTAAATTCCTAGGCCATTGCTGTCTTGGCCAGGGATGAGGTGCTGGTGATCTCCCTACCTGACCTTCTTTCCTGCTGTGTTCTTATAGACCTGAGCAAGCCGGTTGTGGACAGAGGCTGGCTGACTGGTGCCTGCAGTGTCTGGTAAGCGGAAGGGTCCTTTTTTGTGTGGAACCAGGTGGGCTCAAGGCTAAGGAAGAGAGAAGCCACCATACACGCCAGCTTTGCAAGGTGGTCTGGCCGCTGCACAGCCTTGTTTCCCATTCACTCTTCCCACTCGGCCTTCCCTCCCCTGAGCTTGTCCCATGCAGAGGACTCCCCTGGCCTGTAGGTTCTCTGCCACAGGAAGAGCCAGCCACCAGCTGAGCATCATTGCTGGAGAGAAAGCTCCAGCTGCTTTCTTTCTGCTTCCTCCTTACTCGGAGATGACCCAGTGAAAGCAAGGAATTAACTTCAGGGACTGGGGACACCATCCATACTGAGATCCAATTTAGTGAACCTGAAAGGGGAAAGTCACCAGAGTCAGAAATCAGAACGGCCAAGTCAGGTTCATTTAGGCTTAAGTGGAATTGCGGTTAACCAGTTTGTATAAATATGTGCCCTGGGTCTCCTCAGGTGGGAAATGATCTCCCTTTTGCCCATGGGCTGAGTAAAATACCCGTGGCTCTGTTGGTGGCCCCCCTTGAGTGCCTCTCCTTGCTCTTTTTTCAGGACACAGACGAAGAGGATCCGTACTGAGGGTGGAAGAGGAAGACCACCTTGAGAGGATCATCTGAGGCTGCTGGGGTTGGGGGTGGTCTCTGAGAGGTTCCCTTATGAACACGGTGTTGGCCCTGGACTTCAAAGTGCTAGACGGGGGTGGGGGTGGGACCAGTTTGCCTTTCCACCTGGGTACAATCAAGGCTTGCCCATTTCTTCTCTGTTTGTCCGGGTCCTGCGTGGACTGTCTGGGTCCAGAAGGGGGATTGTAAAGGGCCAAAGGGCCACTTGGGGCTGACCAGCTCTTTGTGCGACCCTGTCTCCTGATGCTCCATTGACTTCAGCTGCATGGTACCATAGGGTCCCTCACAGCCAAGGTGTGGTCATGGGGTCCCCCTCTTGGCTGTACCACTCACTGGCCAGGGCTCCCCTCTGCCTTGGGAAGCTGCCACCTCTGATTCCGGGCTCAGTGCTTGCCTTACCCATGGTGCCCTGGGCTCCTGCTACTGGCTGAGGCCACCTGCTGATGGCAGGCCCCTGACCAGGGATAGCCCCCCCCCGCCCCCAGTCTGGATTATACCAGAAAGATGGGTGTTGCCTCCTCGTGTGTCTGGGTTCTGTGGACGCCTCCTGGACTTGTGTCTGAGGACCAGTGGAGGCCTTTCCTTTGGACAGATGCTCTTCTCCTCTTGTCTCTTCTGCAGAGGGAGGGATTAAGAAGCAGGGCTTCTAGGTGTAATGGCAAGTAGGGTGACCACAGGCCTTGGGCAGCTCCTGGTAGGTGTGACTTTAGGTGGGTCCATCCTTCAGCCCCCTGTTTCATTGTGGGTCAGTCTTACAGAGGGGCTCTGCAGGATTACAGCCTCTGTTTTTGGATCTGACAAAAGGTTGTCCAGCTCAGTCTAATAATCTTCCTCTTGTTTGCGCTGAGGGGTCAGCAAGGTGTTGCAGAGGCATGACTGGAAGACCAACATCCCTGTTCACTCTCTTCAATATGGATTTGAGTAAATCACCCTCTGGAGGCCCAGAGAATTAATTGGCTGGCTGGCTGGCTGAGGCCCAGGTCAACCCTGGACCTGTGTGTTCTACAGCCCAGAATGGCTGGCTGGCTCCTGCAGATGGGAGAGAAGGAAGTTGCAAAGGCTCCTCCCTTTCTCCCTATCAGATGGCTTCTGAGGCACATCTCCCATTTGCTGCTGTGGATAAAGGATTTCTTTGTCTCTGGTCTGCTGCCGAAAGTCTGTTGTCTCGGCTGCTGGGCTCAGCAGAGGAAGTGCTGGGAGCGGGCTTGCTTTCCTGGGCTGTGTGGGGTCACGGCCAATGCCATCTGGCCCAGTGCACTGCTGACGTTGGGCTTCCTGTCATCTGGACCAGTTCTGCTGGTGTTCCTAGAACACCTGGCCCAGCCAGCTCTTTCTCTGACTCAGCTTTGGGCTGGTCCCTGGGAGGGGGCACCCCAGCAGATGGCCCGTGGCCTGCTTCCTGCTCCCAGCATCATCCTGCCCACAATCTGCTCAAAGGGAGGCAACATGCCCAGGCCTGCTGGAATGCAAGTGGCGATGAAGAAAGCTTGCGTCCAGCAGGGAGGCTAAGCCATCTGCTGCATGTTCTGGGGCAGGAGGGCATCCCTTTTGGTGAGAGGGTGCCCACTCATGCATCGTCACGCCGTGCTCCCTGAAGGAGTAAGTGAAACAAGCAGGATTGGGGGCTGCTGCTGCTGCTGCTGCTCCTGGGGAGGGCGGTAGCTTCTTGGTAGAGGCAGAGGTAAAGCAGGCCCCTCCCTGTGGGCTCTGGGTCACTCCTGGCAGGCGTTGGAGGTGGTGGGGAGAACCCTGGATATATCCACAAGCACTGGTGCCAGATGTCACTTTAAGGGACCACAAGATCCTTGGTTGGTTTAGCTGCCCCAGGCAAACACCTCTTAGTGAAGGCACTATATGTGCTTTGATACGTCTGACACCAGGAGGGTTGCTACTCCACTGTGAGATGGGTGGCAGCACCCATGGGCGCTAAGGGTGGCCAGGGAAGAATTGGGCCTGTGAAGCCGTCCTTGAAGGATAGTTTTAGTTTTTAGTTTTTGGCTGCTGGGTTTAGGGCTGTATTTTAATAGGTTGGTTGTTCCTGTAAGTGGCTACAAGAGCTTCCTTCGTGTGAATACCTCTGGCCTGTCTTTTTCAGGTGAGATGGGCATCTGTTCCTCACATGGATTTCATGGAAAAATCAAATCATTGTATTTTGAAACTGACCTGACCTTTGCTATTTTGAAAGTGTACATATGTAGGACTTAAAATACAGCATAAAACAAGAGCCAGTCGGATATGGAGCGGAGGGGGAAAGTTTTCGTTTAGGAGACTCAGGAAAGCTGCGTTCAAACCCCTGTTTGGCCATGGAAATTCAGTGCAGAGTGGCAATTCTAAAACCGCTTTAAACATTTCACATACCTTGAAAACCCCATTAGAGTTGCCGTAAGTCGGAATCAACTTGATGGTACACATGTCCTTCTGCTAACAGGTGAAGAAGACCTTTCTCTTCAGGCAGGTTTGTTGAAATCAGGAGCTAGTCTCCAGAATAGCGAGTCAAAGTTTGAACACCAATAAACCTTGACACAAGAGAGAGTTCAAACGGTTGCTGTTTTACCTCTAAGTGTAGGCAAGAACAACTGTGTTATGCACAGGAAGACCAGGATTTTTATAACATTGGTTACACAAGGGAATGGGAGGAGCAATGGGTGGAAATGGTACAAGGAGATGGGAGGAGGAATGCGTGGTTCGTGACCTATTAGAAGGGATGGGATCACAAAGGAATCCAAACTTTATTGGAGTGGGAATCACAGAAGGGATAAAATTTTACAACAGCGTCTGTAGACAGCAATTTATTATTTTGCAAAGAGGTTACAAGGTTGGGTGAAAAGGAGACTTCTAAGGTGAGAAGGAAATAATGTTTGTATTGGAAAAGGTATGGTGCAATGACTGTCCAGTTTCAGAGTTCAATTCTCATAAGACTGGTCCTGGTATTCACCTGGGGGAAGAGAGCCAAACCCAGCCATCCTGCTGTGTCTGTTTGCTTCTCCATTCTAGATTGGAATGCAAGATAACCTGCCCTGGCGATACCTGGCCAGCCTTATTCCTTTACAGAGACTCTTTGAGGGAACAAAAAACATGTGCATATATACCCTTTGTCAATTTTATTAAAGGTGTGTTGTTCTTGCATGTTTCATGCAGGGCTTTTGTGTACATGGTCCCTTCAGTTCTCCCTTAATGACAGGGTTTTAAAGGGATGGTTGTGCCTTACTGCTTTGAATGTGTTTTTTGGTGTTGCTTTTTTAAATGGGTTTTAGTGTGATGTTTGCCTCATCCTTTTAAATATCTGTAGACTTACTGTGTTTGGCTGTAAATATTACCTTTTAGTGATCTAAGTCATCTAGGGTCCTCTTTTAGGAGAAAGGTGGGAAAAAAAAAGGTTTTAAATAAAGTTAAATAAATAAAAATAGGCAGTGGAAGACCAGAGGGCCTGGCGTGCCCAGGTCCACGGGGTCACGAAGAGTGGGACACAACTAAACAACAACAACAAAAATGCAAGGACAAATCCAGCCTACAGGGAACAGTTGCAGATAAGAATAAACAGGTTTCCCCAGCGGAAATGGACATTTTATCAGAAGTGATGAAGGACTGTCCTTTACAAAAGGCAACAGAAAGATGGGAATTATTCTACAAATGGATTGAGTCAACAGGCAGCATATGAAGAGCATACATTGAAATGAGAACTTAAATCTGGAAGGCAGAAAATAGTAAAAAGAATAATTTGGAATTTTGATATGGCAATATGTATAGAATGCATGTTAGTATGTTATTGTTTCTCCTCTTCCCTCTTAACCTCAATTCCCCTTTTCCTTTTTGTCACCCTTTGTTAAAAATAATTAAATACCGACACTCCTGGACAACTCACCAACGGAAGGCTGATTTGCTTATTTTAGAAATATTTCTTGCCTGCTGCTCCCCTGAAAATCTTCCCGCATCCATCAGAACTGAGAGGGCCCTCGTCCTGCAGGCTCAGATCCAGCCAAACACCCAACCTTGCATGAAGAGG